GAGAGCTGCTGACCTCGACTGGGGATATTGTCGGGCGGTGGAAGGAATACTTTGAGGTTCTCCTCAATCCCCCCGTCACGTCCTCTGTTACAGAGGCAGAGGCTGAGGATGTTGGGGCGGATACATCCATCTCCCTGGCTGAGGTCACCAAGGTGGTTGGTAGCCTCCATGGTGGCAAGGCTCCGGGTGTGGATGAGATCCGCCCTGATTATCTAAAGTCTCTGGATGTTGTAGGACTGTCTTGGCTGACACGTCTCTGCAACATCGCGTGGCGATCGGGGGTAGTGCCAATGGAGTGGCAGACCGGGGTGGTGGTCCCTCTCTACAAGAAGGGGGACCGGAGGGTGTGTTCCAATTATCGTGGGATCACACTCCTCAGCCTCCCCGGTAAGGTCTACTCCAAGGTACTGGAGAGGAGGCTACGGCCGATGGTCGAATCTCGGATCCAGGAGGGGCAGTGTGGTTTTCGTCCCGGTCGCGGAACACTGGACCAGCTCTATACTCTCTATCGGATACTCGAGGGTTCATGGGAGTTCGCCCAACCTGTCCACATGTGCTTTGTGGATTTGGAGAAGTCGTTCGACTGTGTTCCCCGGGGTGTCCTTTGGGGGGTTCTCCGGGAGTACGGGGTCGGAGGTCCTCTGCTGAGGTCCATCCGATCCCTGTATGACCGGAGCCATAGCTGTGTTCGCATTGCCGGCAGTAAGTCAGACCTGTTCCCGGTGAATGTTGGCCTCCGACAGGGCTGCCCTTTGTCACCGGTTCTGTTCACTGTATTTATGGACAGAATATCTAGGCGCAGCCAGGGGTCGGAGGGGGTCCGGTTCGGAGACCACAGGATTTCATCTCTGCTGTTTGCCGACGATGTTGTCCTGTTGGCTCCAACGAACCAGGACCTGCAGCATGCACTGGGACGGTTTGCAGCCGAGTGTGAAGCGGCTGGGATGAGAATCAGCACCTCCAAATCCGAGGCCATGGTGCTCGACCGGAAAAAGGTGCCTTGCCCTCTGCAGGTGGGTGGAGAGGTCCTTCCTCAAGTGGAGGAGTTCAAGTATCTCGGGGTCTTGTTCTTCGAGTGAGGGAAGAATGGAGCGTGAGATTGACAGGCTGATCGGTGCAGCGTGCGCAGTGATGCGGTTGTGGTAAAGAGGCAGCTGAGCCGAAAGGCAAAGCTCTCGATTTACCGGTCAATCTTCGTTCCCTCCCTCACCTATGGTCATGAGCTTTGGGTAATGACCAAAAGAACGAGATCGCGGATACAAGCGGTCAAAATGAGCTTCCTCCGCAGAGTGGCTGGGCGCTCCCTTAGAGATAGGGTGAGGAGCTCAGTCACACGGGAGGAGCTCGGAGTAGAGCCGCTGCTTCTCCACGTCGAGAGGAATCAGTTGAAGTGGCTCGGGCATCTGTTCCGGATGCCTCCTGGACGCCTCCCTGGGGAGGTGTTCCGGGCACGTCCCACCGGGAGGAGGCCCCGCGGAAGACCTAGGACACGCTGGAGGGACTATGTCTCTCAGCTGGCCTGGGAACGCCTTGGGGTCCCCCCGGACGAGCTGGAGGAAGTGTGTGTGGATAGGGAAGTCTGGGCGTCTCTGCTTAGACTGCTGCCCCCGCGACCCGGCAACGGATAAAGCGGAAGAAAATGGATGGATGGAGAATAGTCGTTGTTTTCTGGGAATAATTACACTGGATTATACCGGATTCAAAATGTTTTCTGGTTTCAATGATGGATTTTACAGTTTTCTTAGTAAAATGTTCATGTTTGATTAGTGTGAGAATAGAAGTTTCCTCATTGGTTGTAATTGCCAGCCATTTTTGGTGAATTCACTGATTCTCAAGACCGACAGAGTATTATGTGCTATGACTGTGTGAAATATGAAACCAGATTCTGAAAGACTGGATTGTCACTTGTCATTTCATCAGCAAAGAAAAGTCTGTTTCTAGCTCTTTTTGTTCTCCTGTAATCCCCAGTCGCATAGAAGGAAGTTTGGCAGAAATCACCAGACACTCAGAAAAATACGTCAATGGCAGTCAATGAGTTAAATGGAATGAGCGCATTTTTTTCAGACAGAAAACCAGGCTGTATGTTGAAATAATACACATTCTAACATCCACAACAAATCAGTGACTTCTGCAGCTTTTTACCGTCTGAAATAAATTGCCAGAATCAAAAAAATATCTAAATATGTGTCTAGGGCAGATATGGAGATTCTTATCCTGCATTTGTCTCCAGGAGGTTAGACTATTGTAACACCTGCTCACTGCGGTCTCCAGCTCGAGTCCGGACTAGAACCAGGAAGTACCATCATATTAGTCCTGTTCTCAGGTCTCTGCACTGGCTCCTGTGGCTCAGAGAATAGACTTTAAAGCAGTCTCTGTTTAATACACGTCCCTCCATGGCCTCGCACCAAAGTACATCTGTGACATGTTAGTGACATACAGTATGAACCAACTGGGACTCTGAGGAGCACAGGGACTGGCCTCCTGCTGGGACTCTAAGGAGCACAGGGACTGGCCTCTTGCTGGGACTCTGAGGAGCACAGGGACTGGCCTCTTGCTGGGACTCTGAGGAGCACAGGGACTGGACTCCTGCTGGTCCCAGAGTCAGGACTAAACATGGGGAGGCTGCCTTTCAGATTAATGCAGCTAAAATCTGGAACAGTCTTCTTGAAAACGTGAGAAAGGCTGTGCAACAACTGAATGTTTTTATCTTCTCTCTTGGTAATGTTCCGAGATTATCTATGATTTCATGGCCTTGTGTGATTGTCTTGTATCTTGTTTTGTTCAGCACTTTGAGTTGCCTTGTGTATGAACTGTGCTATACCAATAAACTTACACCGGAACCAAAAACCAGGTATAGCACTATAGAAGGGGTCTCCAACCTGTAGCTCGGGAGCCACCAGTAGCTCGCCACCCACTTCCAGGTAGCTCGCCAAAGGATTTAGAAATTAAAAAATGAAATAATATACTTAATATTTAAAATTAACTTTGTTCACTAGAAAAAATGTGTGATAAATAGTGACTGTATCAGGCTTGTTTACAACAATATATCACCAATTTTGTCTCAGGGCCGCTTAAAGTAGTAGCTCTCTGTCTTAATCGTCCCGGGAAAGTAGCTCTCTGGGTGAAAAAGGTTGGAGGCACCTGCAGTATAGGATCCCAGGTTCTCAGCCCTGAATGAAAGTACTTTAAAGAAACCTGGATTGTACTTTTTGGTGTCTTTCCACTTTGCCCTGAAGCAGCTGTGGGGAGACGGAACAATGTGTTTTAAGCGTGAGTGTGTGAAAAGTGGCAATTGTGGCCAATGGTGGTACTTAACGTCAGCGCTGCAGGCTTTCAATTGACGCAACGGAAAACGGTCGCGACGTAGCCTCTCATTAGCGGAGGCACGGTGGCAACAGGAAGGTCGTGGGTTCAATTCCGAGGTTGTGGAGTTTGCGTGTTTCTCGTCGTGTCCGAGTGTCTGTTCGTCATCCTGTTATGGTAAAAATGACTAAAGCATGGTTGAAGGGACTAGTGAGTGTAGGGCTGGGCGGTATAAACGGTATAAGCGGTAGACGGTATAAATTTGGCCAACGGTAGTGATTTTTGTTATACCGGCATATTGCGGTATAGATCATTATGTCATCAATTTGAAACATGCTTGGCCTGCTGGGACCGGCAACAACCACGAGAGGGTTGTCTGCAGCCTGCAAGACAGAGGCGTGTCGTGAAGTGGGCGTGTCGTCACGTGCCACTCTTGCACGCTGCAGACAAACTCATCTTCACTCGTGTGGAAATATGGCTGCAAGTGGTGAAAGTATGGAGAAGGCGGAGCTCGTAAAAAGGACTGGTGCAACGTCAATAATATGGACATGGTTTGGGTTTGAAGTGTCGGATAGTGAGCAGAAAACCATAATCTGCAAATTTTGCCGGTCAACAGTGATAGCACAGGGAGGTAACACAAGCAATCTGTTCTACCATCTGAGAACAAAACACGCTGTCGAATATGAGGAAAGCCAACGAATGCGTAGCGCTGCCGCTGTTCCTCAGAAAACAAGCCAGTCCTCGAGTGGGAAAAAAGTTACACACCACCAGGTTTCACTCGCCAAGGCTTTTTCAAAAGGTACGCCCTATGAAAAAAAAAGCCAGCGGTGCATAGACATTACGAAGTCTATAACAACTTTCTTGTGCAAAGACATGGTGCCTTTTCAAATCGTGGAGAGAAGCGGGTTTTTAGGCATGGTCAATACGCTGGATCCAAGGTACGTGGTGCCAAGAGAATGTGGACAGGCTTGTGTTCTTGGCTAAAAATCTGCCGTAAACTGGTGTGAAACTAATGCTCAGTGTTTTCTTTTGTCACTGACGCACACAGTACACAAAGCTTGTTTGTTGTTTATCTTAAGTTATTTTTGCATTCAGTGTACATGTACCTCAAGTCTCTAAAGCTAATTGTTGATTTGCACTCAAAAGTCATTTTAAAATGTTAGGTTTATATATTTGGGCAAAAGATACCTCTTGTACTTGAAGTTTTGTTTTTTATTATCTAAATCTTTGCATGCTATTTTGTGTTATTTAAGAAAAGTGAAGGAAAAGAGTATTTTGCACTGGAGTGATGTTTCACTTTAACGTTGACATTGTCTTGTTTTAAATGTATACTGCTTGGAAGTTTTATAATGTTCTCTATAATTGCAGTTTTGCACAATAAATTTTAAAAGTAACAATCTTGTCTATTTTATGCAAGAACCTGCTAGACCTATATTGAAATTCACACACCAAATTATACCGCGATATATACCGTCTACCGTCTGTGACCCAAATTTTACCGCGAGATGAATTTTAGGCCATATCGCCCACCCCTAAGTGAGTGATTGTAATGGTTGACACATGGTTTAAAGGGCTCTGTTTTTTGGAAAGAAGGTATTTAAGGATTTTAGTTTGGATGAGACAGTGATCGACCATCTTTTTTGATTTACGTACACGACCATAAATACAATGGAAGTGAAAATAAATGTTGTAGCGACGTGGTGTTGTGATAAATGAGGCTGGATCTGGCTCTGAGGCGGCTCTGAGGCGGCTCTGAGGCGGCTCTGAGGCGGCTCTGAGGGCGGCTCTGAGGCGGCTCTGAGGCGGCTCTGAGGGCGGCTCTGAGGCGGCTCTGAGGCGGCTCTGAGGGCGGCTCTGAGGCGGCTCTGAGGCGGCTCTGAGGCGGCTGCTTATGTGCATAAAATACTAACGACTCAGATCAGGGACTTTTTAGCTGAGACTACATTTCCTCAGACCTGCCCTCGAGCGTCAGGGAAGAATCAGGGAAGAGGAGAGATGGTAAACAGTCTCATGTGAGGCTGAGTAATCTGTTTATGATAGAAATGTGTTTATGATAGAAATGTGTTTATGATAGAAATGTGTTTGACGATATGATTCCACGGTTGTGGAAGTGGAATTCATACTCAGCTCAAGTACATTTTTGGTCTTTACTTTGTCTGCGTCTATACTTTATGTAGTTTATTTCTATGACTACTTTACTTAATGGAAGTAAAGATTGTTTACTTCCATCAAACAATCTTTCCTTTTTCATGTGAGTAGTTCTACCTTTCACTTCCAGATGAGTTTGAACGTATAATTAATGTGTAGCCATTTTTGTCTCTTTTAGCCAACATTCTATGGTATTAAAGGCCCCTTTCCTGGTCATGAACTGGGTCTGACCAGTGTCAGTTTGTTTTTCTACCAGAGGAGAGCGAGTGTTAGCAACACATTATTTACGTGCAGCAGTTAGCATTTGGTCTTTAGCATTAGCCTCTCAACAAACTGTTTTTATTATTGACTTTATTAGTGACTAAAGGTAAAAACCATTTAAATGCTTATAAAAGAACAATTTGATAAAATCCAAATCTCACTACTGTTTATTCATGATGATGCTAATGTTAATGCTAATGTTAGCTCGATGCTAACGTCCGTGTCCAACAGTGTGTAGCCTCCTGCTGTCGATTCCTTTGATAAAACTTATTTGAAGCTGTTGAAACACAAAGCTCTGATTGGTCGACACTGTGGAAGATTGAAAAGCCTAAGAATAAAGAAAGTGAGACAGCAGCTGTGGTAAAATACTTTTATAGAGCATTAATCCATATCTGAAATATAGCATGAGGCGGCTGATCTCTGAGACAGAGCTGGCTTCTCTCTGTCCTTAAATAGATTTAATAATATGCTTTGTACATCACGTGAGCTGTGTGCGTGTCACATAAAGAGTATTTCAATTACAACAGAATAAAAGCCTTCAATACATATAACTTTATAATGTCTCTTTTTTATAAAAGCTGGTGTTCTGACCCTCATTTGTCCAATACAGAAGTAAATAAACATCTCTCTTGTTCGTACTCCTCATATTGATTCACTTTAAATGGATTTCCATAGATCTCTTTGTGCTGAACCATTATTGTTCTTTTTAAATAAATAAATAAATATGTATATATTAAAATATTCATTAGGGCTGGAAAATGAGTGTGTTCACTTTTCACATTGACCTTTCTCTTTAATTGTGTTGAAATATGTTAAAAGAAAGAAGACCGTGAGCGTATGTTCTGGAGGCTCTGTATCAATCCAGCTCTTAGATCAATAAATCTAAATCAATAACTCTTCAGGCTCCTGGAAAAGCCATGTTCCAGCTTCTTCTCTCTGCTCTGTCTGTTTGTTTGTCTCAGAGTCATTTGGAAACGTCTGGAAACGTCTGATGAAGGCGACCGCCGTCTGAAAGAAGGACGGCTCCAGGCAGAGGTCTGCGCTCTACGACTGCGTTTATAGTTACATCATATTATATTGTACGCATTTATTAATCTTAACAGAACTTTATAAACCAATAAAACAAATTTATTGACCATTGGATAGTTTCTCTTTGGTGGATCACTTCTTGAGTCTCTACGTCTACTTTTATCAAACGGCATCTCAACCATTTGGTAAAGTCCTATCATAAAAAAAAGTAGGGAAAATCTTAGAAAAACATCTTAAAAAACATTTACACCACTTTCTTCAAGGAGTGAATATATTTCAGGGTTAATCTGTGATAAAACTTGATTATTCTCGGTCATATTTCTGATTAATTAGTTCATTGTTTTGATCAATAATGAAAATAATTACATAAATACTTAATATATTGTCATTTTTAAAGTACCAAAAGCATCAACTTAAGTGATTAAAGAGAGAAGTTGACACGACCCGTTCCCAGCTCTAACAAATACACTCTATTTTCTTTTTTTTTTAACCTCAGCACTTTTTTTTGCTACAAACTGCCATTTTTCTCCGATTCCCGTCTTTTCCCAAAGTCTGCGTCGGTTCGAGTGAAGCTCAGAGAAACCAAAAGCACTTCTTGCGGTTCTTCTTGCACACAGGGGGTCGCACGGCCTGAGGAGAGTCCTGCTGGAGGGGGGTGGAGGGCGGCGGGGTGGGGGTCTGCGGCCGCTCCTCCGGGGGGTCCCCCACTTTCCACGTGCGCACCACCTGCCCTTCCTGCAGACGGAAATCATGCTCCACACTGCAGAGAGAGAGAGAGGAGAGAGGGAGCAGGGGATCTAGTCAGACGCCTTCAATTCAACTCAACCTACACTGCAAAAAATGATATAATGTGCTCAAGATAAGATACATTTTGCCAAATTTGAGACATTTTTGACTTATTCTTTATCAACCTTTGACAAAAAGTGTAAAAAAAAATACACTACAATAGGCTTTTCTAGTGTATTTTTTGTACAGCCCTGAATCACAGCAATAATTATCTCCGAGGACTTTACAAAGCTGTCGATTTGCCAACACAGATCAGAGAATCAAACACAAGAAATGCAACTATAAAAAACACATGGAGTCATTGATCCATAAGAGGCAGAGACAAAAGTCGTTGAATGTCGAGTGTCCTGGATCTACAGCCTCAGTCCTGGATCTACAGCCTCAGTCCTGGATCTACAGCCTCAGTCCTGGATCTACAGCCTCAGTCCTGGATCTACAGCCTCAGTCCTGGATCTACAGCCTCAGTCCTGGATCTACAGCCTCAGTCCTGGATCTACAGCTTCAGTTCTGGGTCTACAGCCTCAGTCCTGGATCTACAGCCCCTATATAAACAGAAGTAAATTAAAAAAATTAAAACCTCAGCACTTTTTTCCATCACGTTTAAATCCCAGCGCTCTGTAATAAGAGGTTAAACTGTGACGCAGAGACACATAGGTACGAAATAATAAATGAAGGTGTTTCGTTTATAAAAAGCCGAACAACAACATTGGCTCTCTGAATTAGTTCCGTCAGCAAATCTACATTGTGTAAGCTTCCCCTGTGAGAAATGTTTCCTTTCTTGTCCCTTTTCTTCTCGACGCCACTGCTATTCTCGCTTATTATGCAGTGCCCTAGTTAGCCGGAGTTTCTCATTGCAGCACAGATGCTAGAAATAAAGCGGACTCCCTGGGACGAGGATGTAGAGGAGTGGCGCAGATGAAACAATAATGGCCCTCCAACCCACGCACGTCTGCGGAAAAACACCTCTCTGCACCGGGGCCGAGAGCAGCGAGAATATAAACAACCAAGAGCTCTAACACAGTTAAAGTGTGAGTTTATTCGTTAGTAAACGTGAACATATACAACGGAAAAGGAACCACGTCAACCACACCACCTGAAGTCAGAAACCGTCTGCCCCAAATCAGGAAATGACTACACAATAAATCTGGTGATATTTACAGTCTATGGGCCTAAACAGACGTGTGGAGCGGATTTCTCAGTTTTTCCCCACTGTTTTTTTGTGAGTTTTTCCTTGTCGATGCAGGAGCGTCTGTTGGGTTGTTAGTGTCCAACAAAAAGGACTGTGATGATCCAGGAGACTTTAACATTCTACAACATGTATGGGCATTTATCAACATTCATGAATACTGGTTTCTCCCTATGGACCAATGAAGCTGATGCGCAAATTCAGACTGAAAGACCGGCCACAGCTCTCACCCGTCCAGGGCCTGCCAATCACACAGCCCGGCCAGCCCCTTGCCGACCCACTGAAAGCAAAGCGGGCAGTTTTAAAGCAGCCACTTCCTGATAAACAGCGAATAACACCCAGCGTCTCCTCAAGCTCCTGGTTCCTGCTCTGGTTCCTGACCTGGCTCCACCGATGCCCCATTCACACCATGCTTCTAGCCACCACCAGTGCTTGACCCCGGGGGTTCTAAGATCATCTACAGCAGCAGACGATCTCCCCTCTGCAAGTGTCACTGCCAAGGTCAATGCGCCAAACAAACAAATCTTTTTCATGCATTAATGTTTGTGTCTTGGTCTCTTCAGATTGAAACACATACATACAATACATGTGCAATTTCTGTGTCTTAACTGTTGATTCTCTGATCTGTGTCGGTGATTTCAATGGTTCTGTTAAGTCCTCTGAAATGTCTGCTGTTGTGATATAGGGCTAAACAAGAATAAATGGTATGGTATGGTACGGTACAGTATGGTATGTTATGGTATTGTATTGAATTGTATTGTGTTGTATTGACAGCATCTGGAACGTAGCTTTGGGCTAAGAGCGACCTTTGGACTATTCTGTCAAACCGTTTTTGAGAGGAAAGTAGACGCCATACAAACACATTGGGTAATTCTCTTTCCGGGTACACCCCCACTGGCCCGGGCTGGTAAATATAAAAACAGTCTTCTCTGTTTAGGACGAATTGTTGTTTGACACAGACACTGCCAACAGATTATATGTGCTGTATTAGAGTACAGAGTTGAGGATTAGTTACTCATTTACTTCTTATAACATTTCTTGTATCTTTTTAAAGTAAAACAAGATCATTTTGGTTTGTCCCGTTGGTAAATCTTGTTTTAAGGCGGTCAGAATGTGCGCAAAATAAGATACATGTTGCCAAATTTGAGCCATTTTTTCCTTCACTTTTTGCAGTGCAGCGGGAGATCATCAGCGCTCCCAGACCCCTGTGCTCCGAGCGGCGAGGGAAGTCTTTTCATGGGAAACACAGCAGAGTAAAAGCAATCAACTTTGTACGTCTGAGCTGTTTGTCAGAGACAGAACATGAGAAAAGGGAACGCTCTTAGGAAATGTGTCTATTTCTGGGAACGATAACGAAGGAAGTTTAATCGTTAATATGAGTTTGGATACAAGCAGAGAATATGGTTTTAACACAGCACCATGGTACACTGGAAGACTGTTTATCTACAGCCTCAGTCCTGGGTCTACAGCCTCAGTCCTGGATCTACAGCCTCAGTCCTGGGTCTACAGCCTCAGTCCTGGGTCTACAGCCTCAGTCCTGGATCTACAGCCTCAGTCCTGGGTCTACAGCCTCAGTCCTGGGTCTACAGCCTCAGTCCTGGACCTACAGCCTCAGTCCTGGGTCTACAGCCTCAGTCCTGGGTCTACAGCCTCAGTCCTGGACCTACAGCCTCAGTCCTGGGTCTACAGCCTCAGTCCTGGATCTGCTCAGCCTGAGTCCTGGATCTACAGCCTCAGTCCTGGATCTACAGCCTGAGTCCTGGATCTACAGCCTCAGTCCTGGATCTTACATGGAGGTATACGTCCAATAAAAGCAAATATAGATGTAAGGATGTAATGTGTCCGTGCGCCAACAGAGGGCGCCCTTTGTTTTCTTAACTATATAAGCCCTCCGCAGCTTCGCAACGCTGCAGTTCTCTTTTGTTTTTATGAAGGTAAGGAGGGCTCCCGAGTGTAAAATAAGTTTATTTGTGTATAAATGTATTTTGGGTGCCAAATATTGATTGTGGGTTAGCATTTTGTCATTGTACATTTAGGCTGTTTCTCTGTTAAACTTAAGTGGGAAAAATAACTTTGTATTTCGTTTTTAGAGTGCTAGCTTGCACGTGTCCTTGTTAGCATGTGGACTTTACAATTCAGCCTTTGAATGTACAATTTATTACTGCAAAAACAGTTACAATTTCTTCTTAATGGGGCAGTTCTCTTTTGTTTTTATGAAGGCAATAAATGAGGAACGTCTGTTCAGCCTCTTCCACCATTGACTCCTGGTTTCCCTATCCGCACTGCTGGCCCCTGACCAGTAACACAAACAACACAACGCAGAGATCACACCTGGGGCTTGCCATCGCTGAACTAGGGTTACATCTTTGGTGCCGTGACCCGGATGGTGGTTTATAAGAGGAAGAGCGGACAACTCTGTGGACTGTTAACATCATAATAAGCTGTATCCTCAGTTTTGAGTTATATGCTCTTTATTACATTATTTTTTTCTCATTGTTGAATAGTGCTTTTTTATGTGATTGAATGCTATGTTGTGAATATTTCTGTAATATTGATTCATCGGTTTAAGAGATTGATATCACGTTATAATTAATCAACATGCAAGGTAATGTGCAAAACCTCCATGAAGATACTCCTCGACGCCCCATTCCCACGATTCCCCCTGCGGTGAGGCATACCGCCAGCCAGACAGACCAGGTGTGGCAGAAGGAGAGATCCAGACTTTGGACCAAACAGTTATTTTGATGAATCCGTCTGAGCACTCGGAGCAGTATGCCCAACAGCATGAGGCATTATCACCCTGGAATATGGCATATAATGCTCTGCCCACGCCTCCACAGTCTAACCCTCTTCACCTCAATCTGATGACTGGGGGAACCCCCATGCAGGTACCAGAACGCCATGTCCACACACCCAGTTACCAATATCCCCAGGGCAGTTACGGTGGGCCAATGTTAACTGCTTTTGAAAAGTACCCACAAAACACAGGCATTATTAGTCCGGGTAGTATGGCACCTCATGCCGCTGTTCTAAGCCAGCAACCAGTGAGGGTTAATAACACACCTGCTACCCAAGCCTCTCTGCACGCTACTCAAACATACCCATCCATCGCACAACCAGCTCCATACCACATGCAGGCTAGCGCCTATCCACATGAGTGTGCAGGGATCCAGGCGCCTCCCCCTTTCCAGCCCAGCCCAGCCAATTTCACTCAGTTTCATCAAGTAAAAAATGTGGCCATTTTCAGTGGTGGGGCAGACTGCAGAATACTGATTGAGGACTGGATCAGAGACATGCAGTATCTTTTAGATGCAGGTGCCCTACCATCCCACCTCAGTTTTGCAACCATTGTCAGGCATTTGAGTGGAGAGGCACGAAGGCTTGTTCTAAACTTCCCCCCAATAGAGCAAGTCCCGGGGAGGGCTTTTGATGAACTACGGTCAGAATATGGTGACATGCAGAGATCTCTGGATCCCCTGGCCGACTTTTATGAGAGAACCCAACGTTCAGGGGAGACAGCCTGTTCTTTTGCCATTGCTTTAGAGGCCACGCTCAGAGAAGTGGAAGACACCCAAAACAGGGGCCGACCATTCCCAGATCGTGATGCAAAACTGGTGCGACAGTTCATGAGGGGGTTGATTGAAGAGGATGTTTTTTTGAGGATTGCTCCCATGAAGCCGAGAATGCTATGCTTTCGGGAGCTACAGAACGAGCTCAGGAATATAGCCAGAGAAGCCAAGAAGTTCAACCAGCCGAGGCAGAAGAAGACTTTCAGCCAGGTCCAGACTGTCACAAATAGGCAAGTAAGTGGAGCAACTGAGAGAGCTGAAACGGGGAAGCAATCTTCTGAGTTACGTGAACTTACAGACCTCGTGAAAAGTATCGCACTGCATCAAGAAGAACAAAGTAAAAGGCTTGCTCAGTTGGAGACAAAGTTTACCCCTCCCACCTCACCATTCAAGCCGAATTTAGGACCCAGAGACCCTAGCCGAAGAGCCACCATAGTGTGCCACCGCTGTGGCAGACCTGGACACTTGGCCAGGTCCTGTAGGGCGGTGCTACCTGAAAATGAGCCCTCTACCAGTGCTGGATCGTACGCCGCTGTCACATCGGATAGTGGCGCTATCACAGGTGGCCAGCCTTTAAACTCCTAAAGCCTGTGGTGACTGGGGCAACCATGGGCATGCATCTGATCCCCCAAAAGGAATTGGAAACCCCACTTGTCGGACCTTTAAATGAGGGACAGGTTGAAGTTAATGGAATGTCCTGTAAGGCGCTCATTGATTCTGGTTCTCAAGTGACCACCATCACAGACACTTTCTGGCGCTCACACCCTGAGCTGTGTATGCAGGAGATACAAGAGTCTAGCATCCCAATGGAGGGGGCTGGAGGCCATACTATTCCCCATTTTGGTTTTTTATACATAAATCTCAACATTCCGGGGAAAGACTTTGCCAATGTGCCTGCTTTTGTTGTTCCGGTAACAGAGTACCGGTCTGGAGTTCCATTGTTAGTGGGTACTAATGTCATACGTGCCTCCAAAAGCCATTTTGAATCCCAATATGGAAAACAATTCCTGGTTATGGTACAGGAGAAGCACCCAGAATGGTACTCTGCCTTGACAGAGGTGAGTGGCACAAAACCTTGTGGTTTCGACGACCGCATTGGCCCTGCGGTTTATACTGGCAGTAAAATGTGTGTCCCTGCAAGCAAAGAAATGAACGTGATGTGCCGGGTAAAAGGGGGGCCAAGAAAGAAAACGTACACTGCGCTGATTGAATGTAACGTAAATTCTCAGCTGCCAGAGGGCCTAGTAGTGGGCAGAGTGCTTGCCTATGTCAGGAAGGGCGTCGTTCCAGTCCGAGTAATGAACCTCTCTGTCCAGCCAGTGTTGATTAAACCACATACTTGTCTTGCAAATGTTTTTCTCGTTAGAGATGTGTTGCAGTGGAGTAATGAGGGGGAGTGCTCTGGGGATTCCAAGATGGAAACATGTCATATTCAAGATCAGATTGTGCAGGCGACTCAGGGCAGGGACACTGTCACATGTCCAGTGGATCTAAGTGGGGCTGCAGTGGAAAATGAGGAGCAGAGGGAAAGCTTGAGGCAACTATTGCTAAAGAACCGTGATGTATTCTCCCAACATTCCATGGATTTTGGGCACACAAAGACAGTACAACATGAAATCCCTCTGATTGATCCCAAGCCGTTCCGTCTCCCCTATCGGAAAATACCACCTGCTCAATGGCAAGATGTCCGCAATCTTTTAAAAGACATGGAAGACACCGGTGTCATCCGCCCAAGTAAGAGCCCGTATGCGTCACCCATTGTGGTTGTAGTTAAGAAGGATGGGACGTTAAGGATTTGCGTCGACTACAGGAGGTTGAATTCCTGCAGTACAAGGGACGCATTCCCTCTTCCTAGGATCGAAGACGCTCTGGAAGCTCTTGGACAAGCACAGTATTTTTCCACCTTGGACTTGACATCGGGGTATTGGCAGGTGGAGGTGGCAGAGCAGGATAAACATAAAACGGCTTTCACCACGCCTATGGGCCTCTTTGAAGCAAATCGTATGCCGTTTGGCTTACAGAATGCCCCAGCGACATTCCAGAGGTTGATGACCTGCTGTTTTGGAGACTTGAACTACTCGCACCTCCTTATCTACCTTGATGACCTCATAATATTTTCCAAGGATTTTGAGGGACACCTGCAACGCCTGCAGTTGGTGTTTGACAGACTGCGTAAACATGGCCTTAAACTGAAACCCTCAAAATGCCACTTAATGAAAAAGGAGGTCCAATACTTGGGGCATCGGGTGTGTGCAGAAGGTATCCGCACTGACCCTGAAAAGATAAGCAAGGTGAAGGACTGGCCACAGCCAACAAACTGTAAGGAGGTCCTTCGTTTCCTGGGGTTTGCGGGGTACTACAGGAGGTTTGTGGAGAGCTATGCAAAGATTGCTGCACCCCTCTACCGCCTCACTTCTGGTGACCCCAGAAAGAAAAAAAGGGGTACGAAAAGAACCACTGTACCTGACCCTCCCTTTCTATGGACTGATGAGTGTACAAGATCATTTACCACCCTGAAAGAAAAACTCACATCAGCTCCATTACTTGGATACCCGGACTACACACTGCCATTCGTGCTGCAGACTGATGCCTCCGGAGAAGGCTTGGGAGCGGTCCTGGCGCAAGTTCAGAATGGGGTCGAGAAGGTCATAGCTTATGCTAGTCGAGGTTTAAGTCCACCAGAAACCCGTTATCCAGCCCACAAGTTAGAGTTTTTAGCTCTAAAGTGGGCTGCAACTGAAAAGTTCTTCGACCATCTCTATGGACATAAGTTCTCTGTGCTGACGGATAACAACCCTTTGAAATATGTCATGTCCACTGCCAAGTTGGACGCCACTGGTCAGCGATGGGTATCACAGTTGTCAGGCTTTGATTTCGACATTCAGTATCGTCAGGGAAGGAATAATGCTAATGCAGATGCACTCTCAAGAATGTCATGCAATGATGTGGCTAGGGCCCTGTCGTGCCCACAGAGGGTGGCAGAAGAGTCTGAGCCTCTTGTGCCCAGTCAAGAGTCAGAGCCCTACGCTGATACTGGTACTGAATGTCTCCCATCAATGACCAAGCAGGACATCCGGGCGGCTCAAAGGGAAGATCTTGTTGTGGGACCAGTGTTGAGCTACAAAGCAATTAATTCCAAACCAAGCAAAAGAGAGAGAGAGGCTTGGGGAGGACAGGCCTCCCTTCTCCTAAAAGAGTGGAGGAAGTTGGTTGTGAGAGATGGAACTCTGTATCGCACAGTCCGGGACAGTCGTAAAGGAGTCATCAATCAGTTGGTCCTACCTCAGAATCTTCAGACAGGAGTGATGACTGCCCTGCACAATGAATCAGGGCACCTCGGGTTTGAAAGAACTTTTGCTCTCATAAGAGAACGTTTCTTCTGGCCAAGGATGTTTCAAGAGGTTAAGATGTGGTGTGAGCGTTGCGAGCGTTGCTGTCTTCGAAAGACTCCTGCTGGTCTCCATGCCCCGCTAGTCAGTATACATACCTCTGCCCCCATGGAGCTGGTGTGTATCGATTTCCTCACACTAGAGAAGTCTGTGGGTCAAATTGAGAATGTGCTTGTGGTGACAGACCATTTCTCCCGCTTTGCCCAAGCATACCCAACAAGGGACCAGAAGGCCTCCACAGTGGCTAAGGTGCTTTGGAGAAACTTCTTTTGCCGGTTTGGTTTCCCAGCAAGGCTTCATTCCGACCAAGGACGTAATTTTGAGAGTGCCATAGTTCGAGACCTTTGTAAAATCACAGGCATCACCAAAACCCACACCAGCCCATACCATCCTCAGGGAAATGGGATCACAGAAAGGTTCAATCGCACTCTCATGAATATGCTTGGCACGCTGGAACCTCCTCTGAAACCTCGTTGGAGCGAGTATGTTGATGCAATGACACATGCATACAATTGCACTCAACATGATTCGACAGGCTACAGTCCCTACTATCTAATGTACGGCAGGCATCCAAGACTTCCTGTCGATCTGGTCTTTGGTCTAACATACGGCAGCAACCCCTGTGAATACAGCGATTATGTTCAGGACCTCAAAGACTGCCTAAAGCATGCTTACGCTCAAGCCAACATAAGCTCCAGACAAGCCAAGCTGCAGCAAAAGAAGCATTATGACAGCAGGGTCAAGAAAAGTCTTACATTTGCTCCAGGAGACAGAGTATTAGTCAAAGTCTGCGCCGTTGAAGGTCGGCAGAAGTTGGGGGACCGGTGGGAGTCCAAGCCTTACCTGGTCCTAAAGAAAGCCTGGAGTCCCGGTTTATGTCATTCAGTCAGAAGATGGTGAAAAGCAAAGAGTGGTCCACGGAAACCTTCTTACCCAGTGCATGTT